TCAGAGGTTCTGCAAACAGCCATATTTGTCATCAAACAAGCGTAAGACTACTTCCCAGATGGTGAATCATGTCCGACGCTCATTGGCTTTGCAGGATGAGATGGAGAGTGTGAGAAAACGCAGGAAGAGGTCGGCAGAAAATTGGTCATCCGTGATAGAGTGCATGGCCACCGGAAGTAATACCCTGGCAGCGGGCGACACAGCAACTCTACAACTCCGGTGGTTTCAGATGGGCGATGTGCATTTGCCAGGCGTAGATGGTATGAGCGATGCGGCGTTGAGAATACTTAATGAGCTTCCTCGCAGCGAGGATTTTCGAGTTGCACTTACGACGTTCATGACAGAGATGGGTTGTCAACCTCCATCTGATGACCCACAGGGGCGCAAGCGTTCAGACTTGACTATCGCCTGCACATACGACGGGACGCACAGGGGCGCAAGCGTTCAGACGGCAAGAGTTTCACCACAGTTCCACGGGAGAGCCGTGCACAGCGATGTTGCAGTGAGAGGTGGCAATGACAACATATGGTATGCATCAGTAACCATGTTTTTCGTCATGAACGCTTGCACAGGTGGTGTTGCGGAGATGCACAACTGTTGTTTCGTGCAATGGTACAAAGAGGTGGATAGCGAAAGGGAACACACAAAAGGTTGTAAGAAGTTGCAATGGGAGAAGGTGAACGGTCATCAGCACAGTAGCGTCATAACGATTGATACCATCATTGACACCGTTCACATTGTTCCTCATTTTTGTAAACCATAGTGAGGCTCGAAGAGGACAGTTTTTTGTTGAATAGATATGTACTCTAGAAGTGTACAGGGAATTACTTATCGTGAAAAAAACAAAAATTAAAAGGCTGATCATTTTTTCGAGAACAATAAGTGGTCGACGCAGTTGCAATGTTATACTACAGCATGCACTCAACTTTTGTTTTTCTTTTACATAGAGAGAGAGAGAGAGAGAGAGAGAGAGAGAGAGAGAGAGAGAGAGAGAGAGAGAAGCATTTGAACAACAATAGTCATTTGGTAAAGATGGAGTCCGAACATCGGTAGATTTTTCGAGCGTAGAGGCTGCATTTCAGACCACTGTTGCATAGCTTCTGTGTCATTTTACACAGCAATGTAGAGAAAGGTGCATCAAACCAGTGTGTATGACGAAGGTAACTTCAGAGTTGACTACTGCGTGCACATGCATGGCGAATGTAGACTTAAAAAGTGGGAGGTGACACGCACTAGTCAACCCATGTCTATACTTGCCAAGTTACTGACGAGATGTGGTTCATGGCCATGTGACTGTCATGGCCATGAACCACATCTCGTCAGTAACTTGGAAAGGTTGAGGTCGAGGTAACGCCACAATAACAATCTGCACTGGAAGAAATGGCAAGACAGCAAGCGAAAAAATTAGCGTATAGAGGAATTGCTGAGAAGCCGATTTAGACTGACACTGCCATCAGTTGTCACATCTGTTGTACGACGGAGAATAAGGGTTGTTCAGATGAGCCAGTTTGACAAAATCCACGAGGGGGTAGATGGCAACGGTTGTATCATGGGCTCCAAAGCAACGGACAGTTCAGAAACAGCAAGGAATGACGAACACTCATGTGGACCAACTGTCACCGAACCGTTGCTCCCATTGAGAGATCAATGAATCGATGGAAAAGGATACTGGAGGACCCTTGGTATGCGGAAATGTATAAGATGATGACCACAGATGATGCCCAATATCCTCAGATGGTGCATGAACCTTTGTTCAATATTGCAGGAGGCGATCGGTCGACGGGTATGGCTGCAGAGGCTGGAAAGAGACCCAAGAGGGTGGACGAGGAACACTTGTTCCCGTTCATGTGGAAATCAAGAAGACACGCCATATCGATAACAAAACGGGACGTATTGCGATTGAGTGTCAAGCAGTGGCTGAACGATAACGTGATTGATATGTACTTACAGTCCGTCTATGACGAAGATTTTCCAGACGGAGAGAATATGACACTTTATGTTTGCACATCTTTCTGGCACCCCGCAGTCATCGCCAATCAGAAGGTTTATGTCGCGAAAGCGGGATGGCAGGGGCGGATCAAGAGTACATCGCCAAAGCTGCATCGAATAAGCAATGAACTGCGAGCAACAAGTGTTGTTCTCATCCCTATGAATCACGAAAACCATTGGAAATTGCTCTTGCTACTGAATGTCGGTCAGTTTTTGGCAGTCACGGAGGACAACGATGGTCAGAAACGACCTGTTGCGATTGTCATCGATTCCTTTCAACAAAGCGGCTGACAGGAATGGAAGGCGTTGCGCACATTTTTGTGGTATGAATACCTCAGCGAGGCAGACAAAGCAGGGGTGTTGACTCCCGACACAGTGGACACGTCGTGCGTGACATGGAGATATCTACTTGGATCTAAGATAGTGTACGCTGAATGTTCGCAACAGACCAATACGTCGGACTGTGGTGTTTACGTTTGTTGCGTGGCAGCTTAATTGATGCGAAAGCTAGCAAAACTGAGTAAGCAAAGGAACATTACCGCAAAATATATAACAAAAGTTGTTAGCGCGATGGAGGTTGACGACCAAACGGTCGACATATTTCGTCAGTCAATGGTACAACGCTTTGCGCAGTGTGCTGTCGAGGCAAAAGGATATAACACCGCAGCAGCATGTGACATAAAAAATGTTTTCAGAGATCTCATAAACGGAACACGGAGTGGATGTTCGTAAATACGAGGGCATGATAGAAACCGTGAGATCAGGAAAGTTGACAACCGCGTGCAAATATACAGAACTCACACGTCGTAGAGAAGCCAATCGACATGCAGTAGCCAACTTCTGCGCTCAGTCGATGGATGAATGCGTGATATAATAAAGAAAAAAATATCGTCTTTCGTGTCATAACGGCAAAAAAACTCTCTCTYTCTCTCTCTCTCTCTCTCTCTCTCTCTCTCTCTCTCTCTCTCTCTCTCTCTCCCTGCGTGTGAAAATCTCGCCTGGGGTGGTGGATGACAAATGGTCGTTGTATAATATAAAATYATTCCATGTCTAACRTGAGTGTTTGTGAATTCATGCATGTCAGAGACTTTTAATAAGCGTGAAGAGAATGGCTCCGAAGCCAAGGTACGAGGATCTGTGCAAGACCTTGAAGTCCACARGGGGGAGAGAGAAGGGGGAGAGGACAGCAAAGGAAGGCCARAAGACTGTCAAGCAAAGACATACCATCAGGGATATTCCCCGATTCAAGAGACGGGAGACGAACATAGTCCGTAGAACAGAATCTGTGCTCTCTGTCCCGCCGAGGAAAAAGCAGAGTGGGAAACTGCTCGCACACAACAAGTTACCTGCCGCGACTCCCTTGCTGCGGAAGGGACACGACAACCTCGAGAGGCAGCCTCCAACAGCGCCACAGAAGAAAAGACGAGAAGAAAAAGCACAGAGTCAACAACTGAGGACAAAGAAAAGAATAATATATAGAAAAGATAGAAGTCCTGAAGCAATCGACCTCAGAGGGTCATACGATTTACGAACCACAGCTCAGGAGGAAGACGAAGAGGAAAACTGTGCGGAAGATATGTCAGAAGAAAACTGTGACGGTCACCACGATGTCGATGCAGAGGAGAGCGATCCGGAGGGAGAAGAGGCAACGGGAGAGGACAGATCCGAGGAGGGCGGAGAGTCAGAGGAAGGCAACAGTGAAGACAAAGAAAGAGAGATTACATCTGCTGAGAACAGTGCACAATGCGGAACTGATGAGAAAAAGGGAGGCGCACCGGGGACTTCATCGAAAGACAAACAAATTGTGGAGAAGGAGAATGTAGCGGTACAGGGTAAGATGAAGGGCGCGTTATAAACACACCACTATTTATGCACAGCACAGTCGTTGTTGCATGCCGCAGAAACGACGAGTTTCACGGGGGGGAGGGGGCCGTTGGGAGGGGGTCTTTATGAGAGGTGTTACGAAGTGTATTCGGAGGAGGGTATGGCAGGGGAGTTGACGGTCTTATGTTTGTTTGTGATTGCAACACATAGAACACGTATCGCGGAGAGTCTTCTTATTACTAAATCAATAATTTGTTGTTATTTTTGTATTTTTTTTTCAGATTGCACCAATTTGCATAGGCGAAGCAGCACCGGTGGAGGCAATGCTGGCGAATCAACAGAGCAACAAACCGGGGGGGTTACAAAGAAAATGAAAGACAGACTGTTTCGTTCGGTGGCAAAGGCCTTTGCTTTTTCTGCAGCAAAGGATGCCACGCTGTACCCAACGGAGGACATTTTTTTCACGGCACTGCAAACAACTGCGAAATCGATAGAAGAAGATGTGGAGGAAGGACTACGGTTGCACGTGGCAACGTACGGAATCCGAGCAGTGATCGGGGAATGCAATCGGATTATGACAACGGTCCGCGGCGAGATATCTTGGCAATTAAGACATTGGTTTTGGGCCGAAAAAGGTCTGTCGCTGGTCCGGTCGGCCCAAACGGACCACCAGCTTCCGACTCGCAACAGGATGCGGGCAGAGATGAAAGGGAACACAACACGGAGAAGGAGCGGCAATGATCCATGGGGCGCACCTCCTTTCAAGACGGAACTGACAAAAGTTTTTCAAATGAGAAGGGATGGCATCAACCTCGGTGTAACGTTGCAGCAACTTGCATTTGCGGAACTGGTACTGAAAACTGAAGTCGAACAGACGGCAAAGACCAGCAAGGCAGCGGACCAAATACAAAAACTTGCAACTATCAAGAAAGAGATTGCTGCGTCGCTCCGCTCCCGAGACACCGTTTTAAGTTTTTTTGTCTTCAAGCTCGACCGTGCTGTTTCTGTTGAAGAGAAGGTCGTCGCATTGTACAGAGCCGGGTTGCCTGCTGTACGGAGGGGAGATGCCAATAACATGACTACAACAGATTATGATTTTGAACTTGAGTTCATTGCTCCCACCGACGACAAACGTGCGGGCGGAAAGAGAAACGAAGAAAGTTTGTGCGCAAGGCCGTGAAAAGGAGAAGAGGGGGTCCGGATGTAGATGGGCGGGGGTTGGGGGTGGAACATAGGGAGCAAACAGTGGCAACGGTGTTGTAGGGGACATGAGCTGCACCTCCACTCACAGTTAGTGGCATGACACCAAGCCAATGAGGACCAAAATGTAAAATATAAGAGAGAGAGAGAGAGAGAGAGAGAGAGAGAGAGAGAGAGAGAGAGAGAGAGAGAGACAGGGATATAGTTGTTATCCGAAAACAAAAGACTCTGGAGAACCCTTAGGG